ATATCAGATATCCTGCATACCAGATATTTATAATCCACAACAGTGGCAAAATTAGTTATGAAGTAGCAATGAAAATAGTTTTATGGTTGTAGGTCACCATCACATGAGGAGCTGTACTAAAGGGCCACAGCATTAGCAAGGTTGAGAAACACGGCTTTAGAGTACATGTGGTTGTTTTTGTTGAGACGGGCTGTTTCTGTGTAGCCCTGGCTGTCCTGGAACTCGCTCTGTAGACCAGGCTGGCCTCTGCTTCCCAAGTGCTGGGATTAAAGGCGTGCGCCTCCAACGCCCAGCTAGAGTACTGAAAGCTCAGAATGGTGGGCAGCAGAAACCAGGAGAAACAAAGTCCTGCCTGACAGGATGGCCAGCAGGATGGGACAGATCTCTGCACCACATCAGCACCCCACCAGGTCCGCAACCTTTAAGCCACTGTACTGGAGTGAGAATAAGAAGGCTTGCTGGGAACCACAGGTGTGGAACACTAGGGCTCAAAGGCACAGGTAGGAAACTAAGGGCAGCTTAGCCTTTTAGCAGCCACTAGATCAATACAGCGTCAGCACACAGCGTCCTCCCGCCCCTCTTCTCAAAGCAATGCCACAGAAAATCTCTTAGCGGGAGGAGAGTTCAAATGCCAACACAGCCAGCCCAAGGAACCCCACAAGGAACAAAACCTGCCTCCCAAGTTCCCAGCCTTATTTAGAAGGCAAGTCAGCTCAGGGCCCTTTGCACAGAACATAGCCCAGACTGAGATAGAAATCGCTGGTTCAGAGTGCGTGACCTAAGGCTGGTCACTGCCACACCCAGAACGGTTTCCTCACCAAAACTAGACAGTCTGCAGTCCTAGAACACCTGTCTCCAGAAAACAATCAGACCCACAGATCCGACCAAACAGTAACAAGTAGGTTGGGTGGTGAGCAAAATATTGCTTCCTTCCACCTGCCCGGACACCCACCCAACAGCCTCCCACAAAGCCCTTCCGATAAGGATCAAGTCTCGGAATGAAGTCACAAGTTTCCAAACGCCCTACCGCTCAGTTGAGGGCTGGCGGACAGACAGCAAGGGAAGGCCTCCTCACAAAAGCTTTGTGAGACTGGACTTGGTGGCAGGGGCCTATAGATCTCGACTGCTTGGGAGGTTAAGGTATACGGACGGACTCACTGATCCGGTGGAAGCTAGTATATTTTTATGCTGGGGCTGACAACATTAAGAAACAACAGTGCGTGCGATTCCTCATGCCAACTCAAAACACCCCAGCATGGGGACCATAACACCTCTAGGAGAAAGGCTATAGGAGCCTCGGCACACTCCCTAGAGGGTTCTGTCAATTCAAATGTCTCCCCTCCCACAGACCAAAGGCTGTGTTACTGCCTATGGACACATTAGGCTCCCAACTGTCCCCTCTGTACATCCAATACCCATGCACCAGGTCCTAATGGAAAACACATGACTATTACCCAGAATACCCCTCCAACGTACTCCCCCTACTCTACATTTGCATGGGAAGATGAAGAAGAAATGGAACTATCTCATACTTACAAACCACCTATGCACCCCTGATCTCATTTGAGTTGTGTGGCGACCCCATGAGGTAAGCCTTGCTATGGAGGCACACGCTCAGTGCCGGTTACCTGCTCCCTGCTATGGGTCTGAATGCCACCGCCCCACCACCGTGTTGAAATACATGTATTGGGACATGTGGCCTTTAGGAAGTTATTAGGCCATGAGGGCAGAGCCCTCATAAGTAAGATTATTGTCCGGATAAAGAGGCCAGAAGAAGTCAAGCTCAGTAGCACATGCCCTGATACCTGGGAGGTCAAAACAGCAAGACCGCTTTAGCCCAGCAATTCAAAGACCATACCAGGCAACTCAGCAACTTTCTCAAAACACATACACAAAATATGAGAATACATAAATAAGCCAGAGAGAGATCCTTTGCCCCTCCCACTATGGAAGGCCACACAGTAACAAGAAGCCTTCTGTGAACTGAAAAGTGAACCTTGAGACAACCTTGAGTTTGCCAAATTTCCAGATCTGGGGTTTCCCCACCTCCAGAAGTGTGAGGAGTCAATGTGCCTGTTGATGATCCATTGTTACACTAGCCTTCACAGACGTCGGACTCCATTAACAGCGAATAACATTTTGCCCATTTTATGAGCAAGAAAGGAAGACTCAGAGGTTGGACTGCTGGCAGCTTATCTCCTGGGTATGTAAAGTGAGCTGGGAAGGAAGCAAACCCAGCACAGAGCTTCCCAGCACCAGAACCAACATACTCTGGCTGTATAAACTTTACAGTGCTGTACTTCCCTGATGGCTTAGCAATGCTGATAAGAAGGGAGCCTGAAATCCCCTGCTCACACTCTGTTCTCTAGACCTTTGCATCTCATGCACTATAATAAAGGCAGCCTCACTTATTTTGCCCCCCAAACAAAGGTCCAGCTCTCTGACTCAGGACCCCATTTCACATACAAAGCCTCATTTAGTTGCTCCACTGCACCCACCCCCGCTATCTGCTGCCCAGCTCTCAACTCCTACTGGGCAGACTCTGAAACCATACAGGAGATTAAGTCAAGAGGGAGAACAGGAGGGACATTCTCTCCTTGAACTTTCTTAAATGGAGGAGGGGGCACGAGAAAAGAAAAGGCCCATTTTTCCAAGGAGGGGGCCGAGGCAATGATCTTTCCATTAGGCAGACGTGCATAAGAATGTATAGATTATTTAATGCTGGGGGTGGCTGCAGAGCAGAATAAAGGAAGCTTTGTACCTTGCCCAGCACACTTCCCTCACTCTTTCCTCAGCCAGGCATTTCACCCAGCTCTTTAAATCATCCAGCCCTGATGTACCCCATCTGTGCACTGGCTGCAGCCAATGAAATCAAGGCCTGTGCTGACTTTGGCCTGGACTTGTGAGCCTTCCTGCCCCAGGAGTGGGTAGGAAGGAGGACACGAGGCCAACCAAGCTTTTCTTTTTGCCTCATCTCCCAAGGCTCCATCTGCCCGTTTATTTGATCACTTACTGAGTTTTTGCCATGGGTCAAATTCTGATCTGGAGACTAAGTCAGACAGAACACAACAGAAGGACATGGAAGGGTACATGAGAAAGGGGGGCTGCTCTTGGCAGAGGCTTGAGACCCCCACCTTCATACCCACAGTGGCCGCTTGTGTCTCGTGGCTAACTGAAACAAAGCAAGGACGTGGCAGACCAAAGGCCCTGCCCACCTAACCAAATACAGGAGAGGTAACCTCGAAAGTCATTGCCATCTTCACAGAATATGGACTTCCATCCATCTTTTCAGCCCCAGCTCCAATGACTGAGACCTGCAGACAAAACCAGCTTCCCCGCTGGTATGGCGTGACCTCCCACCCACCTTAAGGAGTCACAAGGGTTAGTGGAATCGCATTTTTTAGTGTCAGTACACAGAAGATGCTAAAACGCACTGGTGACTTCTTACACCACGAACACTTCTTATGATGCCATAGATGTCTCCCTAGATAGAAACACTTATTTTGGAAATGTCTCCAGGAAAAGGTTGTGGAAGGGAGACAGTGCCAACTTAAATACGAGTTTTTGGCTCACATTCCATGCCAGGAGACTAGCTAGCTCTTCCATGGACATGGCCTCCCACATCCAAATTTTCAGTCAAGAGTTTGCCCCAAAACTCCAAAGAACCCTGCACCAAGATGGTACAGTAGATAGCTAAAGGCTCACCTAAGTGTAAATAAAAGTTTGGGAATGAAGAAGAGTGGAACAGATGAACATTCAGCCAGGGCCCTGGGGCATCAAGGTTGAGCTTGTAGGTTACTAGGCAGCTTGGAATAGACCCACAACAGATTCTGTTCTAGGCCCTCATTTCAGAATCTATGTCTGCGGACTTGATTATTTGGTCAGCCTTCACGTGCCAGTCAAGTCAGCCAGCAGGAAGAGGAATGTTCTGTAACTGCTGGCTGGAGCTGTCACCCACCCTTCTTGGGCTGAGACTACCAAACCCAAGGAGAAGAAAGCAAGAGAGTCTTTGCCAGCTCTTAAACAGTTTGGGATTGCTAATTTTTTTTTCTTAGTCTGGGTCTGCGTAAGTATCTGTCTGTCCCTTAATTGTGTGGAGGCTAGCTTCTCAGGAAAGATGCTATTAAAGGGGGAATTCTCCCACGATCTTTTTCTCTTTGTCATCGAGCCTAGTAAAACCTGTTTCTCCTCCCCTGGGAACCCGGGGCCGGGAGGGAGATAGCTCCCCTGAGAATACTGCCCAAAGTATTCAGTTCCTGTATTACACAATTGAGAACCTGAGTTTATTCATTAGTAACCCCCAGCCCCAACTTCAGAAGCAGCTGTCAAGGCCTCTCTGGGAAAACAAGGACTCGTTCTTTAGCTGTGATCAAATGTCACCCTGTATCACTTCATATGTAGAGGTTCCTACAGGCCCGCAGCTCAGCCTTTCAACAGGCCACTTTTGTTCCTCCCCAAAGAACAAGTTTTCACGATGCCTCAGCCTGGCCACTTTCCTTGGGGCTTGACAGGGGCTCTCCCATCTGAGATAACAGTTGGGATGGAGCGTGGCTCTGTGGTAGAGTTCTTGCCTAACATACAGAGGTCCCCGATGGACCACAAAACTGTGAGCTACCAGGCCCCAAAGCTTCCCAACAGGGTTGACATCTAACTTCTAAAATAAGCTGCTCCGAGCTAGGCGGTGGTGACACATGCCGCCTTTAATCCCAGCATTCAGGAGGCAGAAGCAGACGGATCTCTGTGAGTTCCAGGACCAGTTCCTAAGCAACACAGAGAAACCCTGTCTCAAAAAAAATCAAAACAAATACAAACTGATCCACTGTTCTGTCCCTGCAATTCAGAGTTGATTCTCAGTTGACAGTCTGCAGGTCAGCCCACTCCTTATAAAAGACAGTATGCAAACATCCTAGATTGTAGGAGAGAGCTTGTAAGTCTGTGACCACAGGAACAGGAAATGCACCCTTACTGGGAGGCAAGAAAGGCCTCCGTGAAACCAGTACCTTGGAAATGAGTTCGTCATGATTGGCCAAGTGAGCTCTGCAGTGAATGCAGCTGTAGGTGCGGTGGCAGGAGGGCAAGTATGCCTGAAATGTCTTGGATCTTGTCATCTTCACCATTGGTGCAGCTGAGCGCGGGGCGAACTCTGGGGCAGCCCACGAGGCACTCCCACAGGACGGGTCGCACGGGAAACACCGGAAGACACAGGTAAAGGCCGTGGTTTGGCAGGGGGTGGGTGTGCGGCAGGCTCCACACACTGGTGACGTCTTCAGAGGAAGGACTCTCTAGCAGAGGCCTACAGCTGGTTCTCGGCAGCCTGCGGCAAAGGAAAACACCATCATCAGATGGAGCCAAGCTTCCGACAAGATGAGTGCAAGCGCCTGAGACGAATCAGCAGACACCGGCCACAGAAGACCCGTCCTCATCTCGGACCCTCACACACTACACCAGTCGTGCTGGCTTTGTGGATTCAGCATTAACACAGTAGTTTCAAGAACGACACAGGTGCCTAGCAAACTGGCATCATCAGCATCCCTGAACACAGAACTGAAGATGGGCTATTTGCAGCCCCCAGGGAAGACCATTTAGGAACCCACACCCCCAGCTATCCACCGCATCCAACAGTCCTGAAATCTCATCTATTTTCAGACACCAGGCGCCAACCAACACTTGAAGCCACCACCTGCAGGGAAGCAAACCACACCACAGCCTCAGCTGGAATAAAGTGTGGGACTAACTTCCCACTTAGCAATGCCCCGAAGGGTGGTAGCCAGCTTGTCTCTCTGCAACACCTTGCTCTGACCAGATGCCCGGTGTATGTGTTTGTGTATTTTAAAAGGCAAGGAAATGACCTAAAGCAAGCATAACATTTGAAAAATCATGACCGTGGAACTCACAATTCCTTTCCAATTCTCACGTCTCCCAATGCTGCCCACAGAAGACTCTCCTACCTGGTCTCAGCCTTCTCACTGGAATGGGGGAGAGGGATGGGGCTCCCAGTGGAGCCACGTGAAAGAATGCCTCTGAAGTTTTGCTTACCTGAGGCTCCGGCACCTGTCTATTCCCTGGACTTCACTAATGGGGGAGGCAGGCGTTCCCACTTGCCTGTCTTCCCAGGAGAGCCATGAGTGTTAATTAACATTTGCATCATGCTTTGCAGATTCGATGATTTAGAGAAATGGGGGAGGAAGACAAATAAAACAAGCTTTCCCTTCCTGGACTATAGGATCCACCTATACTTAACAGAAAACCTGTAAATCATACTCTGCTTTTTCCCCTAAATCCACTACCTAGAGCCAAGTCTCCCATGGGAGGCTGCTCCGACCCCACCCCTTTCATTCTCCCCACACAGCCAACACGTTTGCATGCTACACTTTTCTGATACATCACCACTGTCCAGCACCACCATGAAGATAAAAGTGGTCCCTAGTCCTTATCCAACAGTGTGAACAACTCTCTTCCCAGCATCCTTGAGCCACGTGGGCTCCATGCCCAACACACATCTCCTGTGTGACCTGTCTGATTTCTGAAGGGATTCAGACTCCGGCCCACAGGGGCCAGGGCAGGATGTCTTCTCTGCTCGGTCTCTCCCATGTTCAAGATGAATAACTGGGTTACTCTGGCAACACAGGAATCCTGGCAGTAGACAGAAACGGGAAATGATGCCCTAGACGGTGCTTCAGGCTTTGTCACAATAGACAGATGTGTGCCTGGGAACCCCAGGTCAGCCTGTGGGGAATAAAGGCGGACAAGGCTAAGTTACTATTTCCCCGCTTTTCCGCTGGGTTTCCTGATTTCCAATATTTCTGCTCAGTTGTTAGCAAGGACAAAAACCCCAGAAGAGGCAGAGGAAAGTGGAGGCAGCACCGAGTCCAGTCCACATCATCTGTCTGATTAGCAGAGTGGGAGCAGGGGGGCTCTATTTGTTTAGTCTGGGTTGTTTTTTTTTTTTCTTCCCCATAGCCCAGGCAGGCCTGGAACCTCTTGCCTCAGTTCTGTAGAGCTGAGAGCACAAGTCTGTACCACCATGCCCAGCTGTCTAAGCCAAATGGTTCAAGTCCACAACCTTGGCTGCCCAGGGGCCAGTATGAGTAACATCAACCCCTGGGGCTTACACAAACACCAAGGAAAGAAGAGAAAACAATGCCCTGGCAGCCTCTCTGCTTTACAGAGGCCATAGAGTGTTTTCTTATGCACGCAGACAGCTTCTCAATTATGCATTTCCCTGGAGTAGAATTATTTCCTTTCTCACTTCTTCTCTGTAGGAAGCCTAAAAAAAGTACACAGGCAAAGGTTCCTGGTTATGCCCTAAATCCGAACACATTCACAGCTCCTACAGAAGCAGCACTTGCAGCATGCATTAAATGCTGAGTAGGTCACAAACATGGACCCATGCAATATACCTCACATGACTCTGAACTTAGAAAGGAGAGAAAATGCTACGATGTAGGTACTGGCTCAGGCTGCACGGTGCTGGAAAACCCTGGAATGACCCAGCCATGGACATCTGCCTTGTCTATGGCAGACTCACTGTCCTCTTAGTGGGAGGTGTATTTTGAGACAGGGTCTCGCTATATAACCTTGACTGTTTGAGACAAGTAAACCAGGCTGGCCTTGAATTCAGAGACCCAAAGTGCCCTGCCCCCAGAGCACTGGGATTAAAGATGTGCACTATCGCAGTCTTACATTACTGTTCTTTAGTAATTTCACAAGCATCCTATCCAAGGGACTTCTTCCGGGGGGGTGGGCAAGGCATACAGAAAGTATTAGAAATGTTACCATGTTCAACTAGGTAGCTAGAAAGACCAGGAAGAGAGGAGCGAGAGAGAACGCTGGTGAAATGAGAGGGCTAGAGAGATCGGCGGTTAAGAGCATGCACTGTACTGGCAGACTTAGTTTCCAGAACCCACATCAAATGGCTCACAGCAGCCTGTAACTCCAGCCTAGGAGGATCCAATGCCTCTGACCTCAGTGCTGCACCTGCACTCACTCACTCTCTCTCTGTCTGTCTGTCTGTCTGTCTGTCTCTCTCTCTCTCTCTCTCTCACACACACACACACACACACACGCACTCTCTCTCAAAGAAAAAAAAATGATGAAACAGTGGCAAGATGCATTCTGTATCTAGTAAGAGAGAACACTGGCCACATAGGAAACCAAAGATGAACACCAGGCCCTAAACAAAACAAACAAAAACCCACCTAATCTCCTGGTCTTCTTCCTGTTTGTATTAGTCAGGGTTCTAGAGGAACAGAATTGATAAACACACACACACAGAATTATGCTGGTCCAGGGTACACACACACATACACAGTAGTGAGTGGTACAGGCAGCAGTGCAGCTAGTCTAAGGGTTGTCGACAGAAAGTATGAGAATCCAGTAGTTGATCAGAGGCCGGATGTCTCCGCTGGTCTCCTGCATCAGTGGACTTGCTGTGAGAACAAGCAGGCGAAGAGCAAGAGCTTCCTTCTTCTACGTCCTTGCAGAAGGTGGAGCCCAAATTAAAGGTGAATCTCCCTACCTGAAAGATTCCAATTAAAGTGGGTCTTCCTATTTCAAATGAATTAAGAATAATCCCTGTCTCGGTATGGTGCATGCCTTTGATCCCAGCGCTGTGTGTGTGTGTGTGTGTGTGTGTGTGTGTGTGTGTGTGCACACGCACATGCACATGTGTATGTGTGGTGCGTGTATGTGTATATGTGTGTGTGTGTACCTGTGGATATATAATTTGAGTACAAGGCCAGAGGAGTTCCAGAATACCCAAGGCTACAGAGAAATCCTGTCTGGAAAAAAGTCAAAAGTAAAATAAAATAAATTTAAAAATTGCTTTATTTAATTCTCAATAAAGAAAATGCATTGATGTTCCTGAGGAGAAATGAATTACATATACGGGCACAGCACTTGGCACAATTTAATTTCTGAACTTTGGTCCCTGCTAATGGTGTCACCGTGTGCATAGATTACAAGAGTCCAACTTGTTGAGTATTTTTGCAAAGTCCAATTGATTTCCAAAAATAATCAAAAGCCTTAGGGTATGTGTACAATTTAAACAGCATTTTGAGTGAACCAATAGTGGAAATTAAAGGAAGACTTCCAACACCCCCAGCTGGCTCATGATGCTCACCATGGAAAGGAAAATGTGAAATATTATGATTAAAAACAAAGATCCCAGCTATACCATCTTGAGAGCCAAAGGCATAGGGAACCCTCCTGACTGACAGGCCGTTCCCACGGAGAGTCACAGTAGCCACTGGAATTCAAAACTGTCCCTCCCAGGTGTGAAGGGGAGGAAGAGTGACATGTACTCTTACTTTAGCTAAGCCATAAGGAACCTGAGAAGCCAGGCAGCATCTCACAACAGCCTCGGAAGCTGGTGACAGAAATGGCACAGGAAAGATACGGCTGTGCCTGTGCTGTTTAGGCAGAGCAGGCAGAAGGTGACTAGAAGTGGGCTCTAGAATGTCACAAGTGAGTTCTAGTCCTTCCTAGCGGGGTGACATATGGCAAAGTTCCTCAACTTGCTGACGCTCGCTTCCCCACTCCAAATGACAGGAGACAACTAAGAATGAAATGAGATGAGGTGGCCCAGGGCTCCCCAGTGGGCTCCCCAAGGGGCCAGTGAGACTGAAATGACGCCTCTTGGACGGACGCCCTGAACATGTGTGTGGCTCCAGCACACCATCCTCACACCCTCATCCACACTTCCACACTCCTGCTGCACTCGGCTACAGCCTTACCCTGGACCGTCACCAAACCCTCACTCGTGTGTTCTGGCTTAAGCCAACTAAGGCCCGCGTGGCCGTACTGGAAAACTGACTTTTGGCAGTCAAGATGGGAAGATGCCATGAGTTTGAGGAGAGTCTGGATGACACAGCAAAACACAGCAAAAAACAGCACCTGGAGGCAGGTAGACTTGGATTCGGTCTGGATTCTTCTCACACTGGGCAAAATGCCTGAAAGGAGGTAACAGTGCCTTCATCCCGAAGGAGACAAGTCACACGATAGAGTGAAGACCAGGCAAATGGTTCTCAACCACCCTGATCAGCTACAATCACTCTCGCCAACTAGGGGCACAGGAGTTATTGTTCCCACTCCCAGGACCAAAGGCACCAGTGCTCCTGTGCCCCTGGCTGGCTCATGGTGTTAGGAGACTTCCAGGACAGCCATGAGATGGGTGTGAAGGCACAGGCCTACAATTCCAGCATTGCAGGAAGACCGCTCCAAGTTTGAGTCATGCTGGTCTATACTGCAAGTTTCAGGCCAGCCAGGGCTACACAATGAGACCTTCCTTCAAATTTACCCCCCCCCCAAAAAAAAACAGGAAAACCCCAAACAAACAAAAATCTCTCAACAGGACAAAAAAAAGCCTGTTATATTTTATTGATATCTCTTATATAGCCATGGGCAGCAAGGAGACCTGCCCCTTCTGAAACAAAGACAGCATCCATCACACCCTGGACATAGAGTTGAGTCTTGATTTGAGCAGGTGTCTGTCTCAAGACAATCATATATGATATCTGGGACTCCTTATCAGTTTGACAGGTTTCTCTGTGTAGCCCTGGCTGTCCTGAAACTATGCAGACAAGGCTGGCCTTGAACTCAGAGACCCACCTGCCCCTGCCTTTGGGATTAAAGGCGTGTGCCACGCTGCTCCTTCTCTCTTTAAAATCCTGACTCAACAATTTGTTGTTGCTGTTGTGCTGGGATTAAAGGTCTGCATGGCCATCCCAAGCCTGATTTTGTGGTTTCTAAATTTAAAAAAAAAAATTGTTTGAAGGCAGTAGTGGTACATTTAATTCCAGCACCTGGGAGGCAGAGGCAGGAGAATCTCTGTGAGTTAGAGGCCAGCCTGGTTTACACAGCTAGTATCAGGACAGCCGAGGCTACACAAATAAGCCTTGTCTTGAAAAAAATCAAAACAAAAAATGTTATGCATGTAAGTATTTTATCTGCATGTGTGTGCAATGCCCTCAGAGGCCAGAAGAGGATGTAGGAGCCCCTGCGCAGGAGATATAGCTGGCTGTGAGTCACCATGTGGATGTTGGGAATCAAATCCAGGTTTTCTGAAAAGTACTACCCTTAACCACTGAGCCATCGCTCCAGCCCCTCTAATTCCGTGTTTTAGCGTTTAAGTAGAACCTTGTCCTACAGTATAAAGCACTTTCCATCCACCAACCTTCATTCTCTTAAGGCCTGCAATTTGGCACATTCACAGAGCACGCCGGTCTCAGAAGTGGCTGCAGAATGGCGCCTCTGCCACATGTGAGCAGAGCAATGTATGGCGAGGCTCTTAGTGCAGCTCTTTACCTGGGGGAGCTCACTTCTGCCAGCACATCTGTGTGGGAAAAGAAACAGCTCCCGTGAACCTCCAATAGAAGTAGCTGGGTCTGCTTATCAAGAAGATCAAATATTACAACTTGTGTCTACAACTGCAAGATTTAAAATAGATTACAAAATTAGGATCAGGTAGTAAAATTAAGAAGTTAGCTCTCTCATATGAGGAATCAAGAATTAAATTGGAAAATATATATACAAGGTCATGAGAGTAGAAAAGGAACTGAGAGCAGACGAAGAGGTAGAAAGAACTCTTGTTAGAGACAGAGTTTCTCTGTAGCCCCGGCTGTCCTGGAACCCACTCTGTAGACCAGGCTGGCCTCGAACTCAAGAGATCCTCCTGCCTCTGCCTCCAGGAAGTGTATCAGTGGAGGTAGGCTTGCTTGAGGTCTCAGGAGAGGCCTCCAGTGCCCCGCTCTCTGCCTGTGGATCAGGGATACAGCTCTCAGTCACTTCTCCAGCACCATGCCTGCCTGCTACCATGTCCCTACCATGATGGCACCACTTACACATGCACACACAGACAATCTTTCAAAATATGAGTACATACATCACATGTGTACCTGTATGATAAGGAGGTCAGGCCCAGCTTGAAATGAATGCTCTTGAAACTGCTATACTACTGGAGTTCAAATGCAAGTTTGTCTTTGCACGCCTCACAATCAGGGAAAGCAGAAGAGAATACTCAACCTGCAGGGTTTATAAAAGTACCCTGGAATTGAGTGTACAGATTTTTGAAAATTTCCTGTTGAGGACAAAGAAGACAGTGAGAAATCTAACACACAAAATCCCAGCATAAGCCAGGCATGGTGACCCAACACTCAGGCTGAGGCCGGAGGACCAGCTAACCTACACAGTGAGTTCTAAGCCACCCTGGGCAACAGGGAGACCCTGCCTCAGAAACAAGATCATAAAGTTCATACCATGTGACCATCTTGGCTGTTGCCTGGAGCATCCCTCTATAAGCACAAACACCAAACTCTGGCTCAATGGGGACGTGGGGGTGGGGAGGGGAAAGGTCGTCATAGCAGAGCAGGCCAAGAATTCAAATTGCTGAGTGCCTTGCTGGATTCCAGGGTTAACACTACAGAAGTTCCCGGCAAAGCTTCCCGATTATCATAAATCACAATTAAGATTGAGTAACAAAAATATGGGCCAGTGTAGCAGGCGAGGTGCAAGCGCTAATGCATCATTTACCACTCGGCCGCGGTGAGGCATGCAGCTCCTTCCCCTAAGCTTTATGGACCCGAGCTGGGCAAGGTGGTGCATGCCTATAACTGGAGTACTCAAGAGGATTGCTAGTTTAAGAGCGGCCTAAACAACAGAGCAAGCTCCAGTCAGCCTGAGCAAGACCCTCTTTCTTGCAAACAAAGAAATATAGACTTTGCTTCCGTCATGAGGCTCTCCCAGCCTTCTCTCTAGACACTCAACTTGTGCACTCTGCCTCTGCACCTTTGACTTCCAGACAGGGTTTCTCTGTAGCTTTGAAGCCTGTCCTGGAACTAGCTCTTGTAGACCAGGCTGGCCTCCAACTCACAGAGATCCACCTGCCTCTGCCCTTCCAAGTGCTGGGATTAAAGGTGTGTGTCACCACTGCTCAGCTTTTTTGGTTTTTTGAGACAGGGTTTCTTTGTGTAGCTTTTGGAGCCTGCCCTGGAATTCACTCTGTAGCCCAGGCTGGCCTCAAACTCACAAAGATCTGTCTGCCTCTGCCTCCTGAGTGCTGGGATTAAAGGCGTGTGCCACCAACTATCAGCTAACCTCTTTTCTAAGAGGCACTTCTGATAAACTCCTAAGACACTTCAAATGAAGTTGACACCATGGGCTGGGATGAAGTTCAATGAAGAATACTACCTTTGGGTTTCTAGTGCTGTGAAGAGACACTATGACCATGGCAACTCTTACAAAGGAAGATATTTAATTGGGGAAGCTCACTTACAGTCTCATCATGATGGGGAATATGGCGGTATGCAGGCAGGCACAGTGCTGGAGCTGAGATTGCTACATCTTGCAGGCTCAGGAAGTCAACTGAAAGTCACACTGAGGAAGCTTGAGCAAGAGACCTCAAAGTCTACCCCACAGTGATACACTTCCTCCAACAAGGCCACACCTAATAGTGTCACTCCCTTTGGGGGCCATTTTCTTTTAAACCACCACAAGCACTTACCTACCCATGAGGCCCTGGGTTCAACTCCCTGCAGGTACTGCATTTTTTAAAACATAGCTTTATTATTGCATAAATGTGTGTATACATGGATGTGTGTATATATGCTTATAGCACCTACATGGGCACAAGGACAACACAGTTCTCCAGGCTTGCACCCACTGGGTCTTCTCACTCGTCCTTATAAGTAGTTTGTTTAGATTTTTTATATGTATTGAGTGTTTTGCCTTCGTGTTTATATTTGCACAGACTGCCTGGGGCCTGCAGAGCTCAGAGGGCACTGGATCCCCTAGAACTGGAGCTACAGACGGTTGTGAACCACCAGGTAGGTGATAGGGATTGAACCCAGTGCTTTACACGCTAGGCAGATGTTCAGCCTCCATCTCCTTAAAGACCCCACTGACCAAGCAGGCAACTTCTTTTCCTTTACTTAGTTCAGGTCTCCTAAACAGTTGACTTTTAGTTTTTTGTTGTTGTTTTTGTTTTGTTTTGTTGGTATGGTTTGGTTAATTAGCTGGGTTTTCTATAATGTGGGAATCACGCCCAGGGCCAGACATGCCTGGCCAGAACTCTACCACTGAGCTACATCCCAGACGGGGCTGTGTGTAATTCCTTCATCTGTGGCAGTCCTCCTCGGCAGTGGCACTACAAGCCCCATCCTTTCACCATGGGCCACCATTCATCCTTACTCCCTGACTCCCTGACTCAGCTCTTCTTCCTCCAGCTCATTCTAGAATTCTACTTCTAAAACATAATTTGAGCACATCTCTCTCGTGTTTCAAAACCCGTACCAGTTTTCTACCAGATTACAGGGCACGGTCCAACTGCCTCTGGTGGTACCAAGAGCCTGAGTCAATTTTCATGGCCTTCCTACTCTGAACCTGTCTAACAGACCACATCAGTTACTACACTGTTTCAAATTATTCCAGTTACCTGCCACATTCTACTCTACCTCCCAGGCCCTGTAAAGGCCTGCTCACCCCTCAATACCCAGCACAAATCAAACCCTAAGCAGAGCTGGCAGCCCCTTATCCAAGCCCACAAAGGTTGTCTTTCTCTGAGATAGAATTTATCCCACAAGACATGAAGGTGCCTGAAAAGGCCCAGTTTTCTGAGCCGTCCTCCATGGTGGTTTCTCTGGGACTCCACGTTCAGCACACTAGGGAGCCCTGAAACCTGGTTAACTCGGGACAATGAGCGACTCTGGGAACCATGCTGGTGGTTTTAAACCTTCTCCTGGACTTGCCTGCCCTCCTGCACTCTTTACAGACCCTCCCAAGTCTTATACCTAATTCTGGGCATGACTCCAACACAGGCAACTGACTCTTGAGGGGCTAAGTCACCAGGACTGGGAGATGGTGACTGAGACTCAGCACTGTGAGGTCATAGCCCAGATGAGTAGCGTGAACCTCTGTGTATTTATTTACCTGCCTGCTGCAGCACTATCTCTGCTCTGCCACCCTGGGCCTTCACACTCCACCATACCCATGAGAGCTTCCCACATGACCCTACCCAGGCTGCACATGCCTTCTGAACCCTAGAGAAGCTCTCGGGCTGCTCTAGACACCCTCCAGGCCAATTCTGCCCCCCTTTAGTGTCAGCCTTTACATTTGGTCACGCTCCCAGATGACACTCCTGGTTAAAATAAAACAAGTAGCATTCATTCTACATTCTGTGACCCGGAGCACTATCCATTCTTGTGCCCCTAGATAGGGCTAGACTTGAACTATAATGGAAAACAGACACTTAGAAGCTCTGTTGAGAACACAGCTTTAGACCACAAGAGACTCGGGCTAGCAGTGGTCTTGTCTGGAATCCCAGAACCCGAGAGGCAGAGGCAAGAAAACTGCTGTACACTTGAGGCTAGCCAAGGCAAGTGAGTTCCAGGCCCGCCTTAGCTAAATACGGAGACCTAGTGTGACCCCTATCTTACCTACTTCCCAAACGAAATGATATGGCCTCTCTTCAGAATTCTCCCTTTGCCTTCAAGCTCCAGGTCCCCTCCCCTCAGAACTCAGAGGCTAAGGAACGATCCAGCTCGATCCAGCTCCTTCCGTGATTGCTTGATGCTTCTGGGCTTCCCAAACTCAACTATCTGCAGGATTAATGAATGTCTGTTGGACTATGGGTGCTGCCACGACCTTGATTTCTCTCTCGGATGGGTCTCCAGGGCACAGCTGGGCCCCAATTAACTCCAAGCTATCCATCCCAGACCTGCCAATACTGTTCTGCTGTTCAGCTGTCAGCGAGCCTTTGGCTTGCTCGCTTTTATCCCTCGTTCACATAAATCCCACATTCTAGATACAGATTGTCTGTGGCTGACCTCCCTGCCTTTCCATGGCCGAAATCTGGAAACTGAACTTTAAAAATTGAGAGTGAGAAAGGGAAGAGGCAGTATCGAAAGGATGCCTAAGAATGAGCCAGCCAGCCTTGGAAGGACTCTGGTGAGTTTCTGGGCCTCTCTGTAGGCACGCAGCAGGTAGACCTCATTCACAAACAAAGCTGCTTTCCTTTGCGTGGAAGACGGACTCACACGCACTTTGCCAATTCAGCCTTGCCATTTAAGAAGCTCCCGCTAAGCTAGTTTGTGGGTCATCCCAGAGCCAGACATGAAGTACAAACCTGGAAGGCTCAGTTAGGTGGGTGTGGGGGGTGCATGCCTGAAACCCTAGCATTTAGGAGGCTGAGACAAGAGGATGGAAGTTCAAGGCCAGCCTGAGCAGGATTTAAACTGGTGAGGTAGCTCGAGATGACCCTGAATTCTGGCACCTTCTGCTCCTTCTTCCCTAGTACTGGGGTGGATCCTTTCAAATCAGAAGTCTGGGGAAATGTTGCCTTGGTCCCTGTGTTCTCCAGAGTTTAAGCTAAATGGAAGAATCTACATGCTAAGCAGTAGGATAGCACAGTCAAAGCCAGTCTGAGAGACTTACTAAGAAAGACGCTGCCTCAAAATACAAAAACAAAATATAGGGTTAGAGATGTATAGATATAATAATATAGCTATAGGGATGGTGAAGTGCTTCCAAATGCAAAGGAAAGCTTTTAAAGTCTAATCCTTGGACTGAGGAATATAGCTCAGTGACAGAATGCTTGCCTGCCAGGCACAAGGCCTTGGGTTCAATTCCCAGCACCACAAAAATATAATAAAGTTTATACACACACACACAAATTATTGGTTTTGTTGGGGTGGGGTGAGGCTGGTCTTTCAGAATCGAAACAATCCTCTGACCTCCAAATGCTTAGACTATTGGTCTGCAACACATACCTATAATATATGCTAGAATATAATATGTATAATATAATATAATAACCTCAGATGTCACTGGAATACTATCAGATTCAATATTTCAACAATAAATAGCTGAAATGGAAAGATGGCTCAGCAGTTAAGAGCACTGGCTGCTTTTACAGAGGCCCTGGGTTCAATTCCCAGAACCTACATGATGGCTTCACAACCATCTATAACTTCAATCTCAGGGGACCCAATATCCTCTTCAGCACCAGGTGCACACACAGAGCACAGATAGACACATAGACAAAATGTCCACACATATAAAATAATCATTACAAAATTGAAGGAA